CACTTCATAAGCACTTTTTAAAATGGAACTTTTTAAATCAATACTCTCTGTATTTAAGCTTTATTTGATGTGAAAATTTCAGGTATGTACGATCTCATTGTATTTCTCAAAAAAAAGAAAGTTAATAGAAGGGCTTTAAAAAGTGGATTTTTTATTGAAAATTTTGAAAGGTAAAAGTTTATTTCTGCTTCTTTCCAAAGTTAGTCCATCATTGACTTTGTTTTGTTGTTTTATGTGGAAAAAAGCTATTTATTTTTTTAGCTTTATAAGCGATATAATATTTTCATTAAAGTTTTAATGTTTCATTCTTGAGTTTTTTCTAAAAAATAAAGAGCATCGTAGGTTTCGCATTCAATTTTCCTTTAAAATGCGCATTTTTGTGCATGTCTAAAAAATTATGTTTCATCAAAATTACCCTTGTTATTTTTAAAATGTTCTTGAAAATCTTTATTGTCATATTATTGGTCTAGAAATATGCACTGTACTTCTCAACAAGTCCCCAATGGCACAGCGGTTTGTCCGAGGACTTACAACGCTAGAAACCGGGTTTCGATACCCGTGGTTGACAGAGCACAGCTAGTCCATTGCGTAGCTTTGCGCTTTACTTCAAACAAACAAACTTCTTAACAAAGGAAAGTTAGAATAAAGGCTTCAAAATGAGGAATTATTATTCGAATTTCTTAAATCTAGATGCTTATTACGGCTTCTTTCCAAATTTAGTCTATCTTTGACATTGTTTTTGTGTGTGTGTGTGTGGAAAAGAGACATTTGCTTTGGAAGTGATATAATATTTTTCATTAAAATAGTAAATTTTCGTTGTTGAGTTGTTCTAGGAAATAAAGAGTATCGGATATTTCACACTCAGTTTTGCTATAAAATACGCAATTTTTTGTGTATTTCAAAAATATTTTTTCATCAAAACTACCAAGGTATTTTTCCAAACTTTCGTGAAAAACTTTATTTTCATATTATTGGTCTAGAAACGTGCATTTGATGTACGATTTTAAAAATGGACATCTTTTGATCAAAACTCCCATTATTTAAGCCGTGATTTGTTGTGAAAATTCCGGCTATAGTAGATATTACTATACTTCTCAAGTAAAATAAATTAGTACGAGGGATTAAAAAAGAGGAATTTATTCCATCTTTAATAGGTTATGGTACAAGTTCCTTTGAGCACATGCAAGACACCACGATACACAACCGAAAGAAACTTTATTAAAACAAGATGTGTTCCAAAGTAATTCAAAATATAATTTAAAAAATAATAATGAAATTATGAAGATAAATTAAGAAATCAACTATTTTTACAAGAATAATGAATATTCAAACTAAACACGAAATTCAAATTTATCATAGCTACATTAATTTTCTGTTTGATTGTTGTTAAGCGCAAGGCTATACAATGAGCTATATGTGCTGTGCCAACTAAGATTACGTTAACAGCATATATACTGATGAAAGCAAATTCATTTACACATTCAACGATACAACCTGAAACTGCCCTGAACAAAACCACAAATTAATATAAACTGAAAAAAATACAAAAATTGTAGTATTTACAAAATTAAAATAAAACTAAAGAGGGTGAAAATTGTTTGTTTCAGAATTTCCATGCAAAACTCTACAAAGGGCTATTTGCTTATAACCATTCCTCTTCCTTAATTTTAAACATGAGAGACTAGGGAGAATGCAATTAGCCATCCGTACCCATCGACAACCCTTGGGCAATCTTCTCTGATCGAATAATGCGATTTGGCTGTCAATATTATGATGACCCATGGCACCAAAATATAAAGTGCAATCTAAGCATGCTGACAAAGTATCTACATTATTTTCTCAAGCTACAAATCCCTATTTCGAATCTATGTCTACAGTATTTATCAATTTTATTGAAATCAAAATAGGGATTTGTAGCTTGAGTAAAATCATGTAAACACAATTTCCAGCCTTGTTTCTTTCCCTTTTTTTAGAGTCTCTAGTTGTAGTCTTGAATATATAAAGTTTGCATTTTGTTTCAACTTGTTTCTTTACTTTTCTGACGATTCCCCTTTTTAATTAATCGTTTTTATCAAACAGCTTTTAATTATCTTGTTTCTTAAGTTTTTTCATGCCCATTGTGTAGCTTTGTGCTTAATTACAAAACAAACAAACAATATGTGTTCAGGCGAATGTTACACGTTTTTCAAAAGTTTACTGCTTCATTGGCTTTTTTCTCATCCAGCCACCACACTGAACTTATTCAAAATTAATAAAACACGCACAACAGAGAATAAAAGCATGTATTAGTATATTTGGAGAATAGGCGGGAGTTTCGCAGTACATGTCTAACACTACAAGCTATGCATGTTTCTAAATATAAATTTAATCTAAACAAGCGTTGATATTAAAATAAATATATAATAATAAATTTGTCAAAATAGCAAATTAAACTTGTTCTCAAAAGACCATATTGAAAGCAAATATTCTATCATCACAGATTTTGTGACCGGTTCCATCAATGTCACAGTGTTATGTAACAAAAAACGAGCAGCAACAAAACAATCTCACCAGAATCAAATAATGTTTCTTCTAAGATAATGCAATACAGATTACTGCAATGTAAACATAACGTTTTGGGACAACGTGGGACTTATTGGTCCATCTCTGTTGTTCCATTCCAAACGTTTCCCACAACTGATGCAAAACTAATAGATCTATAATTACTAGGACAATTTTTATCACCTCCCTTGAAAACA